ACTGGGTATGGTGCATAAAAAATGAATCTTGGAACACTGAAAAAATAAAATAAAACAAATAAATAAATAGAAAAGAAAGACATTGTGTCAAAAAAAAAAAACCACCCAGATTGACAATCTCTATCTTAATTGGACTTCTAATTATTTTTTAATCGTTAAGTCCAACTATATGTAATGCAATTATATATATGGTTGAATTTGTGGTTTGTTTTCCATTTATTTTATTTATTTTCTCCTTTACAGCTTTGTTTTGATTATTCAAATGCTTATTTTCAGTATTCTTTTTATATTCTCTATTACTTTTTAGCTGTATCACTGGGGGGGTTGTTTATAAATTAGTACTGTAGAAATTGTACAACCACCCTGAAATTACCACAATCTGCCATGAATTAACATCATATCACTCTTTGTAGAATGAATAAAAATCTTAAAATATTATTTAAAAAAAAGAATGGCTGTCACCAAAAAGACAAGAGATAAAAAATGCTTGCGAGAAAAAGGAGCACTTGTTCCCTGCTGGTGGGCATGTAAATTGATGCAGCCACTATGGAAAACAGTATAGAGGTTCCTCAAAAAATTAAATATATAGCTACCATATAATCCAGTAGTCCTACTTCTGGGTATATAGCTGAAGGAAACAAAATCACTATATGTGAATGAATATATACAAATGAATAAAGAAGATGTGATATATATATATATATATATGTATATGTATATACACACACACACACATACATACATACAATGGAATGTTATTGAGGTGTAAAAAAGAAGGAAATCTTGCTTTTTGCAACAACATAGATAAATCTTGAGGGCATTATGTTGAGTGAAAAGAAAAACAGTGGAAGACAAATACTGTATTATCTCATTTATACGTGTAATCTAAAAAAAAATTCCGAAACTCACAGAAACAGAAAACAGATTGGTGGCTGTCAGTGGCAGGGGGTGAAGGGTGGAGGAAAGCAGGGAAAGGTGGTTAAAAGGTACCAACTTCTAGTTAGAAGATTAATAAGTTCTGGGGATCTAATATACAGCATAGTGACTATAATTAACAGTACTATATATTGTATATTTGAGAGCTGCTGAGAGAGTAGATTTAATTTAAAAGTTTTCATCACAAAAACAAATTGTAACTTTGAGGAGATGGATGTTAAACTTGGTAATCATTTTTCAATATATACATAAATCATTATGTTGTGCACCTTAAACTAATACAATGTTATATGTCCATTATATCTCAGTAAAACCAGAAGGGGGTTGGGGTGGCAGTTGCCGCTATCTCCAAATATACACCCAGACCTTGGTGCTTTATTTCTTGAGGATTATTTTTGATACTTCATATATAGATTGCTGGACCCTGCCCCTAGATATTCTGACGCATTAAGTCTGGAATGAGGACAGGAAATCTGTATTTTTACAGGCTTCCCAGTGATTCTGATGTAAGGCTAGGATTGAGAGCCACTGGAACAGATGACCTTTTAAAGTTAGTCATTAAGGGGACACCTGGGTGGCTCAGTGGGTTCAGGGTCTGCCTTCGGGTCAGGTTATGGAATCAAGTCCTGTGTTGTGCTCCTTGATCAGCAGGGAGCCTGCTTCTCCCTCTGCCTGCCACTTCCCCTGTTTGTGCTTGTGCTGCCTCTCTCTGACAAATAAATTAATAAAATATTTAATAAAAAAAAAGTCACTAAGAGGGCCCTGGACCAGGAACATTGGGTGGGCAAGTGCTGCCCTCTAGTGTCGCTGGCATCTTGCTACACTTAATGCATACTGCAATCTGCTGCATGAGCCCTGGTGGTCTTGCTGCCTGACACAGCTATTGGGTTTCCTGTCCAACTCCTGCAAATTTTAACTCTTAGGCATTAATAAAAAAACACTCATGTATAAAAAGGTTGCTGCTGAATAGCACACTGTGCTTCTCTATCCCCAGAACCTCAACACATCTTAGATGTTCAGCAATACTTTCTGATACTGAGACACAGCAGTCAGAGTCAACAACTCTGAACAGAGTCAATAACACAGAGTCAACAACTCTGAACAGTTTCCTGAAGAAATTCTACTATTACAGTAATTGTGGCACTGTGGCACAATCATGGAAGCAGATTCTAGCTTTGGCAAGTTTTCTGGAAACAAATGAATGTGAATTTATGGTTGTGTAGCCCTCCAGAGTCCATAGAGGCTTTTCAGGTACTTCATCTCCCTTGTTTGCTCTTCACGATAAGCTGTGAAGCAGGAAGGGCAAATGTGAAGATCCATGCCCACATCCTTGATGTGTTCATTACATGAATGTGCCTTTGTTTGGGAAGACTCTGATCCCACCGTCCTAACTACTCAAGCACCCTTCATCAATGAGTACCAGATCAATAAACAAACCTGTACTAAAGGCCTACTCTGCAAAAAACACATAAGATTGTCTACCTCCTGAGTTTGGAGACAGGAACAAGGGTGAGTGAGTTGCTGCAGAGGGGTTTGCAGCAGATGGTTTTAATGGCTTAGTAGTGGGCTATCTGTAAGGTAAATAGTGCACTGGTTGGAGCAGGTGCAAGGTTTGCACAATCTGGTGGTTTTGTCATGGGCAGGAGGTTAGGAGGAGACTGAGAATGGTTTCAGCAGTGAAAAGGCAGCAGGAGCTGCAGGAAGCAGAGCTGGTTGGGTAGGAAATACAAAATTCTGTTCACCTTCTCTTCATCCCATTGGTGAGAGAGGGAGTGTCCTAGGGTTCTGGAGGTGGCTGAACTCATGACACCTGACACTGGACCTCTGAGACTGACAACAATTTATTAATCATATATATTCACAACTCAGGGTAAGAAGACACCAGTCACCATGCAGGGCCACGTTAGGTCATGCTAATGAAGACAGAACTGTTGAAGTAGCCTAGAAGGCAGAAGCAGCTGCAGGAAGCAGGAGCAGTTTGGGTAGAAATAATAAAAGTTGAAGACTGAAGCTACATTGTAGGTATCTTGACCTGCTACTAAAAAGGTGATGCAAGCTCTTTGTTAACTTGACATTCAGTGCTCTTTGGTTGAAAAAGTCTTCTCATTTAAAGATGTTAAAATAGCTCAAATTCATCCCATCATCAGGGTGAGACTCTTCTTAAATTATTTTAAATGTAAGGATGCTTTTGTTTGTGTTTTGTCCTATATAAAAAAGGACACTTAAGAAAAACATTCACTGATCCATTTTTTATTAAATCATTTTCAGAGTATTCTTCCCCATAGCTAATAAAGAAAATCCTTCATACTAATGATTGGTAGGGATTTTTTGCCTTTTATTTCTGAAATTGTGGTGTATATACTTAACATAAAATTTACTGTTTTAACTATTTTTAAGGTATAGTTCAGTGTCATTTAATACATTTACAGTGTTGTGCAGTCATCTCCACTATCCATTTTCAGAACTCTTTCAACATCCCAAATAGAAACTCTGTACCCACTGAATAATAACTCCTTAATCCCTTCCTCCTCAAATTCTAATAAGATTGAGTCTTGATTCACGTGAATTAGTTTTATCTTTGTAACTAGGTTCGTTAAGTGTCTTGAGAGAGGGCGGGTAACAACACAAATGTGTTTGTGCTGTTGATACTGCCTAGCTTAAGGATGAACTCAGATTGAATGCTCACCACACCTATCTGGTGTTAGATTGGATGTTGGGGGAAGGACCAAGTAGCACTTTCAGAGATTTTCGGCCTAAGAATTTTGGGGATATGAGACCTCTCTTATCAGGGCAAGAACTTAAGGAATTTCTGGAGTCCTAGGGTGTTGGAGGCATCTCACAATGTCGACAGGGGCCATGAAGTTAACATTAATATGTGAATCTGTGGACATAGAGTGGTGGGTAACTGTGGTTGGACAGGAAAAAGCTAGCCCTGCCTAAAGGTATTCAAATTCAGACTTCATAAAACATGTAGCCAAACATTCCAAACATGTTGGATTGAACCAAAGAACCACAAGTTTGTATTCCTTAATCAAAAATGTTGCCAGTGACTCATCTCCAGAATAGGCAGGATGCTAAAAGATCTGTAGAGCTATTCTGGAAAATCAAGCTCCAGAAGAGAGCCTCATTTATGTGCCTCATGGAAGGCAGTATTTACAGTCTTTTCCCACCCATCCCAAGCTTGACCATAGACTGGGAGGAATCCTTTAATTCTAGAAAGTTATTTTAAGAGACAAGAGCTATATCATTTCCTTGACATATCAGACATGATCTTCTTCTTGAACCTCTTTTTTAAATATTTTTTTTATTTTTTTATAAACATATAATGTATTATTAGCCCCAGGGGTACAGGTCTGTGAATCGCCAGGTTTACACACTTCACAGCACTCACCATAGCACATACCCTCCCCAATGTCCATAACCCCACTCTTCTTGAACCTCTTAATACTGACCACCAATTGCTTGTAACATCAAAATCCTCAGTTTCTTTTTTTTAAAGATTTTTATTTATTTATTTGAGAGAGAGAATGAGAGAGAGAGAGAGCATGAGAAGAGGGAGGGTCAGAGGGAGAAGCAGACTCCCTGCCAAGCAGGGAGCCTGATTCAGGACTCGATCCCAGGACTCCAGGATCATGACCTAAGCTGAAAGCAGTTGTTTAACCAACTGAGCCACCCAGGTACCCCAAATCCTCATTTTCTAATAGTTAACAAGACAATGCATATCCTAGCCTCTTGTGTGTTTTTTAGTTATCTTCCCAGTATAGGTGATGTAGTTCATGGGGTTCCTCTGACCTAGCCACTCTCTCTCTCTTATAGGGCATGCTGTGTACATGAAGACTAACTTATATAAGGATAGATGCCAGACTGTTATCTTAAGAAGAGACCTAAGCCATCGGGGTATAGGGAATAAATGAAATGATATATGCTGCCTGTGACCTTGGCACCTCTAGGGCCCAAGCTCTGCAACTCATACAGGCAACCAGATACTTCATCTGAACACTGCATCACATGAGCTTCTCCCAGACAAATAAAGGTCTGTGATGCTCTGCACGCCTTTTGAAATAGGAGAGCTTTGTGATGTAGTCTAGTGATCTGGTTCCATCTTCTGTGAGGTAGAGATGACAAGGTCTAGAATTTGGAGGCATTAGGTTCCAAGTCCCTGAAAGCATAGGAAGAGAGATGGCTAGTGAGGATTAGATTATGTTGACCCCTACCTTTCTTCTGTGGGATGTTGGATATCCCTTATACACTTATGGCTCCATCATTATTATTGCATTAATTATTTGGCAAGTGAAAAAGAGCCACCAAGAATTAAGGTTGGGACCTAACAGGAGCTGTTGCCGGGTAGGGAAACACAATGACCATAACTAAACTGATTAAGCTTCAAACACGATTTTATCCTCTTACTTTCTCCTGTTACCCTGACCCCTACATTTTTATGGGGGTTTCCTCATGGATCCCTTAATAGATCCAAATTTGGGTTGATTCTTCTGGTTGGGAGACATTCAATACCTTGGGTAGCTAAAATTCTTTGGCTGCTAGACCTCTTATCCTTTAATCTGTTCATATTTTCTCCTGTCTCATTCTGATATCCTCACAGAATTTGTTCAGGGAGTAGGGGTAGAGGTATATAGTATAGTAGAGCCTTAAAATGAATGAGTAGTAAGAGAAGGGAAATGATGGGTGAAAAAGATAGAGTAGGGAAAAGAATGGTAGGAGAGTATATAAAATTGGAATATAGAAAAAGTTTGGGAAATTTTACAGATTTTGTCTCATTTAGAGACAAAAAGTAAAAGGTACCCCAGCTTAATACTCTTAACTTTCTTGTTTTCAAGCGTCACCGGAGAGTCAAACAAAGGGCTAAAGATAGAACATCAAGAGGTAAAGTCCTAGTTTCTCCTTGGACTCCCCTCGCTATGGGCAAGATTCCCTGATTCCTGTACTCTATGACCCCTGGAACAAGTAGCCAGGTGCTCTAACCACTGAAGGCTCCTATTGCCTCAGCTGACAAATTCTCCCAGAAGACTTTCTTGGGTGGGAAATCAGAGCCTAGGTGTGTCCCAAAATTCTCTACCTTACACCTGCCCCTGGGAATGAAGAATGAGGAAGTAGGACAGAAGCCTTTTTTTTTTTTTTTAATAGTTTTACCACCCTGTGGAAGTCACTTCATGTCTCAGTTCATGATCCAGGAAACGGGCATCTCATGATCCTGCCTCACTCACAGTGTGGTTGTGATGATCAAATGAAATTGGGTCCAGGACAGCATGTTGCAATGGGTTAAGTTGTACACAGACATGCCTTAGAGCATTGACTCTTGGGGTTTTCAACCTCCTTTTACTCAAGGCCTTCAGCTTCCTATAGGATATCCCTGCATCCTCTCATTTCTTGTAACACTGTTGTGTTTTTTCAGCTAGGAGACATTCCCGAGAAGAAGCTGAGAAGCCGTGGGAGCTGCTCTCTATCATGAAAAGGTGATCACTTCTTCTTTGTGGTCTCCAAACTCTCAGCCTGGCCTGTGATGATTTCTCTGCTTGGCCTGGGGCAGGGAGGAGAAGAGGGATAATGTCTGGGAGGGAATCAGACACAGTGGATGGTGAAGACTGGTTGAGAGGGTTGCCAGGGCAGAGGGGGATCAGGTGTCTCAGGGAGGAGGAGTCTCCCAGTTCTGCTCTGGGCTAGGTTCACAGTGGTCCTGAAATTCAGGATTTCACTACTATGTAATTCACTGAAGATGCTACATGAGTTTGCACTCAGCCACAGACAAGTTATCCAGTCAAGAGAACAGATAAATGCATGCACAAATAAATGACCAGGCCATATTCCCTTTACAGTTACAGCTATTCAAGGGCAGACCCCTGGAGCCTGCTGATATTACCTCCATGGTTTTGTCTTCAGGGAGGCCAGTTCCTGGGATAGCCCTCAGAAAGGAGCCTGTCATCCTCTTAAAAGCTCTAGGAATGGGATTAGCTCTCAAGAGATGCTATGTATAGGAGGTAGGACACTCCATAATCCCCAGAATGCAGAGTTCCCACAAAGACCTCATTTTCCACAGCTTAGGAATATGAATGCCAGGCTATGGCCTTCTTAATCCCAGATGAGTCTGACTCCCCATTCTCCCTGGTAATGCTCCTGGTGATGCCCCATCAGCTAACCATTGGCTCCCCGCTTCTGCCTTGTTCCTTTTTCCTGGTTCAGCTTCTCAACATAGATCAACAGAGAATGTACCCCACCTCCTAGTCTCTCATGGCCCTGCATTCCCATGGATTGTCTGAGACCTTGCCCAACAAGCTCCAGACCCTCAGCCCAGCCCAGCCCAGCATAACTTGACAATGGCATTTTCCTAGGAGGAAAAGGGGGTGGATAAACACCCTGGGGGTATAGGCCCCAAGGCTCCCAGGACTAGGGGAGGGTGGACCAAATCTCCAGGCCACACATATTCAAAGAGGCAGGTGTTGGGGTGCCTGGGTGGCTCAGACGGTTAAGCATCCCACTCTTGATGTCAGCTTGGGTCTTAATCTCAGGGTTCTGAGTTCAAGCCCTGCTCTGGGCTCCATGCTAGGTATGGAGTCTATTTAAAAAAGCAAACCAAGCCAAACAAACAAAGAGGCAGGTGTTACTCCATCAGTAACTGTTGTCATCTTCCCTTCCCAGCCAGGGCTGGCTTCCTCAGGAGGGAAGTGTGAGGCGGCTCCTGTGTGCAGATCCTTCCTGCCCCATCTGCAATGCTGTGGCTCTAGAGATTCAGCAGTTGCTGGCGGGTGAGAACACCCTGATCTCTCCCCCTTCATCGGGGCCATCGCAGGGCTCCTCTTGCCTAGAGATTTTGTCCATGTCTAGTCTCTCTTTGGAGCAGAGTCAGGGTTCCCTGCACTCCAAAGATCTTTCACTTCCATCTGTAACCCCCATAAAGTTACAATTAATGGATCAGAAATCCTTAACACAGTCAGCTGTCCAGTCAACCAGTGTCAGCCTCCGAGATCACCAGGCTGAACTCCTTCAGCGAAGGAAGGGATTTCAAGTGCCAGATGTGTCCAGGGATGCAGGAGCTCGGTCTTCTTCAAGTGAGGAGCCTAGGATTCCTGTGAATCAGCAGGACAAGAGGAAGAGCCACTCTGAATGTGTGCTGGAAAAACAAGGTCAGCTGCCCTTGAATATCTGATTGTCTTTCTGTCTCTGAATTCAGAACTCATGAACCTGAAACACCCCATTGCCTTGAATATGCCTATTTCCCCAATCCTTAAGTACATGTATATAAATGCATGCATTTCTGTACCTGAGGGCTTCCAAGATCTTTGGAAGAGTTCCTCTGACAGCTTATAACACATAGCCTCAGATACTTTCCAAGCCTGGGAGGAAAAAAAAACTATCATTTCTTTCATCATAATGCTACCTCTAAAGCTGCTGTTGAATATATGGGGTATCTTCCTGATCCTGGGTTCATGAGAGTTGAGCCATTCCACCCAAACTTTCTGGTTTATAGAAGGATCCACTATGAATCCAGAGCAAATACCATTGCAAGCAAACCCCAAACTCCATAGCTCTGGCTCTACCCTCTACTACATTTCAGTTTCTAAGTTGTCTCTATCCATTGCCTGGAGGACCAACTGAGGCCTCAGTGTGCTATCTGCAGCAGAAACATAGCTACCTTTCTGTGGTTCCTCTTTTCTGCACAATGAGTCCTCAGTCTCCCCATAAAGATCTCTCCACAAAAGGGGAGCCCAGTCCCCTTATTCTTCAAGAATTTCTTCATAATCTCTGTACTGTCTAAAATTCCCTTCACCTAAGTTAGCCCCACCTTCTTTCCACATTCCCAAATTTGGGCTTCTCCATCTGACTAACAACAAACCCATTTCAATATCCCATTTCCTCCTCTGGCCAAGTGTGAAGACTTTGAGCAGCACCAGCTGCAAAGGCAGCTACATCTTCAGTGGGGCTTGCCAGCTGTTGCCCAGAAATCTCTGTAGGTGCAGAGAACCATACAAAATAAGCCCTGAGACATGTTTCCCCCTGTCCCCAGGGGCCTACCTGTTAGGAGAAACCCCTTTCAGTCTGCAAGAGGGAGGTGGTGTTTCCCGGGAACATGCCCAGAGCTGCTTGAGTTCTACTTTCAGAAGTTGTTGATTTAGCAAGTTGATTCACTATTGCAAGGGCCTGCTCCAGAAGATCCAGCAGTCCAAACAGTTGCTCCTATCTCCTCCTGACCAGCAGCCCCTGCCCCAGAGCAGCACACTGACCAGTGTGAGTGTCCCCTAGCTTGCAGACCTAGAGGCCAGTGGAGATAGTTGTTTTGATCCATTGTGGCAGCAGGGCCAGTCCAAAGTTGCTTGCCCAGGCTAAGGCACTGTTGCAGAGGTACGGTGACTATAGGTGTGGGGAAAACTGCTGGGGCCTTATTACTGTTTACATTTGCAGCTGTTGGGACTAGAAATCATTGGGCCTGCAGCATTCCAAGGGCCCTGACAATAGCTTGGTTCCCTTGTGCCCAGAAAGAGAGTCTCTAGATGTAGTGGTAGCTGTCAGCCCCTACATGGATCAGGAAGCCACATCCTCAACAGTGATAGGCCTTGACCAGCAGCAACAAGCCCCACTTGATGCTGTCACTGATCATTCTGGTCATCACCTGCCTGGGTATCTTCCCACGGGGCCACTGAGAAACTGGAGACAAGTTTTGGCCTTACTGTCAGGGCTTCCAGCTTTTTATTATGTGGCTTTCTCCAGGGCCATGACCACAGCAATCACTGGCCAATCTGCATTCACAGAGATGTGCCTGGGGCTTTTGAGGGCCCAGTGTAACCTATGGCTCAATATCATCTAAACATCAATGCATAAGTCCTGGGCCAGGTTTTCAAGATGCCAGTGAGACTTGTTCTGACAATATATAAGCATTCCAGGTTGAAGTATAGGTGAACGGAGATGGTGCCTCTAGAGAGCCAGACATATTGCTGGCCCCTGTTCACTCAAGATATCCATCTTGACCAAACTAAATTTTAATCTGAAAAATTCCTGTAGATATATTTGTGAAATCTTATAAAGAAAAAGGAGTCCAGGAACAAATTGTGGCTGTCCCAAGGAATATCTTTTCCTAGAAGTCCTTTCAGAGTCTAAACAAGCAAGGAAAAACATTGCTCCAGGATCTCCCCATCCCACCAGGCATCATCCCATGTACTCTAGAATGCTCTGCCTTAAAGAATAGCTTGCAGATAAACTAAGGCAGTGCAGGAGAACCAAAAGCAAGCTAGTCCCACTGGGCTTCCAAGATCTCACAACCCACTGGGGACACAACAGGAGCCCAGATGCTTTGTATTCACCTGGAGGCCATGTGAACAAGCTCAGCCTGGAGGAGCCCTGGAACACTTATCCCTGCAAAGGTGAGCACAACTCCCTACCCCAGCAGAGAAAACAAAGGATCCAGGAAGACTTAAAGCAACAGAGAATCACAGACAAGGGGGTTCAGTTTTGAAGCTCTCCCTAGCCAGAGAGAACACCTACTCTGCTGAGGCCAGGAGGGACACTTATAAATAGAACTCTTAGTGCCCCTGACTTCCCAAATGTATCTCTAGGATCTTTCTCAGGTAGGATTTTAGTTAGGTCAAGATGGTTTCCTTGAGTGAGTTGGAACTAGTAAGGATCTGACTAGATCTGCAGAGCCACTATTTCTATCCTCTCAGCTGACTGATCCCTGTCAGCACCTTCACAAGTTTCTCCTTCACTTTGAGTTCCTAGAGTATCCCCTAAGATTCCTTGGGTCAAAAGACCAGATGAGAATGGTCTGTAAGGCTGTTAAAACAAGCTGAATGACCTCATCCAAATAAGGATTCCTCAGAATGCCAAAACTAGAGTCCCAGAGCTTAATGGGCCAGACCTTACATGGCCAATTTACTGGGTAATTATTTGCTGGACCAAACTGTAAGTCCAGCATTTACAGTGACCACATTTTTTGAGATCCAAACTTTGCAGGGCCAAAATTTATAGGGCCACACTTTCTAGGGTCAAAAGCTACAGGGTCTAGTAAAAGCAGCCCATATTCACAAGATCCCATTCTTCCAGAACCTGCAGAAGCTGGCTTGGGAAATAAGGTGAAGCACTTTCCACACTGGATTAATCCTGAGATGAAAGGTCAAGGGCATAAAGAATCCATTCTCCTCTCTAAGGATGAAACAGTGCCCAAACCCATGACAAAAATGGTTGAGAAGACTCCACCCCCGACCGGACACCCTGTGAGAGGAGCCAAGTTGGAGAAGAAAACAGAGGAGGAGGGCATGACCTTCTTTGATGCCCCCCAGTCTCTGGACAATGAACTCAAGGAACAATCCCTTCAGCCCAGACACTCCTGGTTCCTATGCCTTTCCCGAGATGGCTCCAAGCATTGTCCTCAGCTGACTTGTGCCACTCAACTAGAAAATCCATCCCACCTCTCAGTTCTCACCTCAGCAGAAGGCACTGGTCTACACAAAGAGAATACCCAGTCCGGGAAAAAGGAGTTCATAGGTTCCAAGTCCTCTGCATGCCCATGAAAAAGGCTGTCATCATTTTTGTTAATGTGCAGGTGAGGCAGGACCCTCTCCAAATATACTCTATACCTCTAAGCAAAGAACCATCTGTTTCTGCTTCCTTATTTCTAAGGTTGTATGTGATATATAGAGTAAAGAAGGTATATAATACTTAACATACAGAATAGGAGCTTAAATACATATTTCAAATAGATCAGCATTTTCCATACAACTTTTTCAGTCCCAATCTGAATTATGGATTGGGGGACTTGAGAAAAGAAGGAAGACCCTTGTCCAAGGTGCATGGAAGGTGCACCAGGCTTGATTTCTATCATGTCTTCCTGTGGCATCTATGGGCCCTAGAGGAGCAATGTGGACATGAGAATAGTATAAGAAGTAGCAGCCAGGAATCTAGTGCATTTTTGGCCCATAGGCACAATTCACCAATAACTTCTTTATATGCCCAGAGTCTGAAGGGAGGTTTTTTACAGGAGTGTCACAATGCTCATCCTTGATAAACACAAAAGCATACAGGTAATGTGACGTGTGTCAGAAGCAGATGATATAATCTCCCCTCTCTGAATGCTGTTATTACTGATTAGATCTTTAAAAGGACTAATCATCTGGGAGTCTGCTGCAGCCTCTTGCCAGTTTGACCCCCATTGCCTTTCAGCTGCATGGAATAAATGCCTCCTAGAATGAAGATCAGTTGAAGAGAAGGTTCCCAAAAAGATCACAATAAAAATGACTTTGACCTGAGTCTTAACATTCAATAGTTCAAATATTCAACCACTATGTGCCAGTACTATGCCAGACACTAGGAGCACAACAATGAACAACAGGCCTTCCTCCATTGAGCTTATGGACTCATGGAGTAGACAGTCAAATAAAAAGCTACTAAAACACTTTGATAAGGACGGGTTAGAGGAAGTAGGTGAAAATACACAGGAGGGCACTTATACTAATGTGGTAGGGGGAGGGTGTTCATGGAAATTTTCTTAGAAGAGGTGATATGTAGACTGAATTTCAAAGGATAAGAAGTTAGCCAGGAAGGAAGTGGAGAGTCTCTGGGTTTCCCGCAGCCTGAGTGTACAAATTGTGCAAATGTATGGTGTCAAACAAATGGACATGCTATGTAAGAGAACAGTAACTTGCTGGAGAAGTGCTTATAATAATCAAAAGCATATTAAAACTTTTGAGGGATCAGAATGAGATTGCCAAACTGCGGAATGGATGGCATTCACTCATGCATTTTTTTCATTTCTTCAACTAATACTGAGCATCTACTATAGGCCACACACTTGTATAAGCACTGAGTATACAGCAATGGACAAAAGAGGAAAAAACAATGTCTTCAATGAGCTTACGTTGATGGTACACTAGGGAGGGAGAGAAAAGAAGCATAAGTAGGGGCTTCTGGGTGGCTCAGTCGGTTAAGCATCTGCCTTCGGCTCAGGTCACGATCCCAGAGTCCTGGGATAGAGCCCCACATTGGGCTCCCTGCTACGCAGGAGGACTGCTTCTCCCTCTTCCTCTCACTCTGTTGCTCCCCCTGCTTGTGCTCTCTCTCTCTGTCAAATAGTTTTTAAAAGAAGCATAAGTAAAAAATGCAATAGGTAGAAGGTGACCAAATACATAAGGGGTAAGAAGTTTGGGGAAGGATTTCAGGGCAAGTCTCACGAAAAAATGTGGGCATGGGTGTACCTGTGTGGTCCTGGGATCTAGCCCCTAGATGCATTGGACTCCCTGCTCAGTGGAGAGTCTTTTTCTCCCTCTCTTCCCCACTCATGCTGTCGCTATCTCTGCCCTTCTCTCAAATAAATAAATAAAATCTTTTTTTTTTTTCCAAAATGTGGGCATATGGGATGCTTGGGTGGCTCAGTCAGTCAGCTAAGCACTTGACTTTGGCTCAGGTCATGATCCCAGGATCCTGGGATTGAGTCCCTCATCAGATTCCTTGCTCACAGGGAGCCTGCTTCTCCCTCTGCCTGCTGCTCCCCCTGCTTGCACGCTCACACACTCTCTCTTTCTCTCTGACAAATAAACACCATTTTTAAAAATGTAGGCATAGACTAGAGAGAGATGAGAGAGTAAATCACATAGGTAACTGAGGAAATTTCATGTCAGACATGGATAACTGAAGAACTTTCATGTCAAACATGAACAGTCTGGAGGCTGGAATATGCCTGAGCTATTCCAAGGAAGAAGCACAGTGAGCCCAAAGCAGAGTTAGGGGGAAAGTAATGGTGGACAAAGAGCAGTAAAGGGGCCAAATGGTGTAAGGCCTAGAAGGTCATTGCAAAGTCTTTTGATTTTTGAGTAAATGGAAGTTGCTGTTAGAGGATCTGCTTAGATCTCCCTTGTGTTTTAAAAAGTCACTTAGGCTGAGTTGCTAACAGCAGTGTTGGGGATATCGAGCTGGAGAGACGGAAGGAGATTAGTTATGAGATTATTCCAGTAATCTTAGCAGAAGACGCTAGAAGTGTTTAGATGCTGGATTCATTTTGAGGTACAGACAATAGGATACTGATATCCACTTGCTGATACATTGGATATGGACAGTTAGGAAAAATAAAAAATCAAGGATAACGCCGATGTTTCTGGCCCAAACTTCTGGCAATATGGAGTTACCATTAACTGATATGAGAAATGCTAGGACTGGAGCAGAGTGATATGTGTGATTGGATGCGCGGAGTGGTAATCAGGACTTCACTTTCTTTTAATTTTTTTAAATTGTGTTCAATTAGGAGTTCACGTTACATAGAGATAGATACTGAACATTCAAGTGTATGTATTGATTAGAAAATTTGAGCAGATGATCCTGGAATTCATGGAAGTGCCCAGGCTTTAGGCAGACAGACAACTAGATAAATAGACATACATAGATGATGATGATGATGATGATGATGATGATGATGATAAATAGATCTACATAGATGATGATGATGGTGGTGGTGGTGATGGTGGTGATATAGATAGATAGGTAGGTAGATAGATGATAGATAGATGTATTTAAAACCATAAACCATGTGACTAGGCTAGAGAGACAGAAAAATTATTACATTGGTATGATGAATGCTATGATATATGGGGTCCTGCCCCAGAAGGAGGTACTCAGCAGATAAGGAGAACCCTGAGGTCTCAAAAAAGTTGTCACAATAAAAGTGACCTTGAAAGACATCTTACATTCAACAATTAAAATATTTGAGTATGTACTGTGTTACAGAAACTATGGCAAGCATAACAGTCACCAAGACACAGGCCTTGCCTTTATGCAGATTATGATCTCTTGGGTAGATAGTCTCACATGCCCAAATTGGCTAATCAAAATAAATACATGGATGTGCAACATTCATCTCATAAGTGAACTTCTGATTCCCTGTGCCCCTCTACCACAGAATCACACATACCAGACCCAGTAGAAACACAGAAGCTGCCCTGAGTGGAAGATATGGATCTATGTTTTGGACAGAAGGTGGTACCTCTGCATTCCCACCTTCTGACCTACCACACAGGAGCCAAGAGCTAAAGGAAGTGCAGGAAGTGCTCTAATCTCCCTATAATGTGGTATGGGGGACTATGGGACACTTCTGCTCCACTGATTGGTAAGGAAATCCAGGATGACTCAGTATCCCATCAAACCAAGAGGTGGTGGCAGGACTGTCTTCCACTGACAGGACCTAATGTATCCACCGCTCACAAGATGCAGAAAAGCCAGGATGGGAAGAAGCATGAATGTGTCCCTCCTCTGAATGATGATTTTGTGCCTAATGGATGGCGTCCCAGCCCCTGTTGTGGCCCTCAGGGTGAGGAGGCACAAGGCCCAAGCCTACTGAACCAACACCCTCCAGGTGTTTTCCTAAAGCATCCCCGGAGATCATAGGAGGTCTTGTGACAGGCACATCCTCACGGCCTGGTAGGAATTGGGCAGAGATCCAAGTAGGAGGATGCCCAGGAGAAGAAATGTGACTCAGAAGGGTCACAGCAGCATCAGGAGAAAAGCCAAGGTTAATGTGCACACATCCTGGCTTAGGTGGAGCAGGTCCTTCCCATGGTCCCCCTCAGTCTCCTACCTGCCCCCAGTAGATTCCTATCACAGAAGTTTCAAACAGCTGACCATAACAGCTAGACTTTTGTTCCTGCTCATTCCACTGTGGCAGGGAGGTCATAGAATATTCTGAGCACAGGAGTAAGTGTGTGAGACTTCATTTCCTTGCTCTTGCTCAGTTCTGTCATGCCAGCCTCTTGCCAGCATTCTACGAACATGAGTTGAAACTCCCTGCCCTACTCAAATTCCTAAACTGTTGGAGATGCTTAGAGGCAAGGACTCAGTTATCTTTGCTTATCCACTCAAAATTCTAGTCTCCCTACTCTGTAGGTCTTTGGGTAAAATATGCCTTGTCCCTAAATTCTCACATCCTCTGAATCACATCCTCTGAATCTCATCCTCCTTTCCACAGCCTCATCTCTATTTTGGCCTAACTTTCCATCGCCACCTTCTACTTGCTCTTCTGTGTCCAGGCTGAATCCCTGGCAGGATGGTAGTAATATATGAACATAGTAGTGAAAAAAAGCAAGTTATAAAAATAACCATATTACAATCTCATTTTTAAAAAATCATAGATTTTATTTTTATTTTTTAACTTTATTTTTTCTGTGTTCCAAGATTCATTGATTATACATCACATCCAGTTTTTATTTTTAGAGAGGTTTTATGTTTGCAGAAATATTGAGCAGCAAGGACAGGGAACTCCCATATATCTCTTTCCACCCTTGACCACATACAGTTTCCCTTCTTTTAACATTTTGCATTTAGTGTGGTAAATTAAAATGGATGAGCCAATATTGATACATTATTATTAACCAAGGTTCATAGTTTACATTAGGTTTCATTCTTTGTGTTATACATGCTATGGGTTTTAACCAATGTATAATGATGTGTATCTACCATTAAGGTATCATACAGAATAGTTTCTGTGCCCTAAGAATTCTGTGTATTCCACCTATTCATTCCTTTTACCCTTCCTCCAAATCCTTGGCAACAACTGATCCTTTTGTTTTTTTTTAATGTTTCTTTTTTTTTTAATTTTTATTTCTTTTCAGCATAACAGTATTCATTATTT